GAATGTCCTAGTCTAGTACAAAAGGAAAGGAGGTCGCTCTATGCGTCTACCTCGGGATCTACACTCCCGTCCCGTGGAGTCTCCCAAGTAGCGGGCTCCTCGACCCTTACGTCCTCCTCCTCAAGCTGGTAATATGAAAAATGTTAGTGATAGGGGGTGAGCATGAAGCTCTGTAGAAACATTCTTCCAAACCCATACAAAGTTTAGAAAAATATTTAAAACGGTCGGTCTCAATTTTAACATAACATAGACACATAATTTGAAATAAAGTAGTGACATTTAAAAAGGATCTCAAGTTTATTTAAAAATATTACTTAAATGAATAAATGAGCACCACATACAAATAATAACCATTAATTGTCATAACCAATTTCCAATAATTCTTTCGGTAGGTGGCATACTTTGTAGTAACCTCCACCCCCCTTTTCGGTCACCTTTGATTCTCAATCATCCTTATCGGGAACCTCTTGAAAATGGATGAGCATCCTTATATGGAATCTCTCACCAATCACTATATTATTTCCCAAGTATCCTTACCGAGAACCTCTTGGGAAGGGGTGAGCATCCTTACAAGGAACCTCTCACTCATGNTAATGAGAACACTAATATAATTCCTTAAGAAACAAGACTTCATTTGTCATCCACGAATATTTATAACATTATCCAAAAGAATAAGCCCAAGTCATGGCTATTACATATCAAAAATTAATTAAGGGCAGCGGAATAAACAAAAGAAGCTAGGCTACACAATGTTCCAAAAGAATGTCCTAGTCTAGTACAAAAGGAAAGGAGGTCGCTCTATGCGTCTACCTCGGGATCTACACTCCCGTCCCGTGGAGTCTCCCAAGTAGCGGGCTCCTCGACCCTTACGTCCTCCTCCTCAAGCTGGTAATATGAAAAATGTTAGTGATAGGGGGTGAGCATGAAGCTCTGTAGAAACATTCTTCCAAACCCATACAAAGTTTAGAAAAATATTTAAAACGGTCGGTCTCAATTTTAACATAACATAGACACATAATTTGAAATAAAGTAATGACATTTAAAAAGGATCTCAAGTTTATTTAAAAATATTACTTAAATGAATAAATGAGCACCACATACAAATAATAACCATTAATTGTCATAACCAATTTCCAATAATTCTTTCGGTAGGTGGCATACTTTGTGGTAACCTCCACCCCCCTTTTCGGTCACCTTTGATTCTCAATCATCCTTATCGGGAACCTCTTGAAAATGGATGAGCATCCTTATATGGAATCTCTCACCAATCACTATATTATTTCCCAAGTATCCTTACCGAGAACCTCTTGGGAAGGGGTGAGCATCCTTACAAGGAACCTCTCACTCATGTGCATCATAAACAACCCAACCAAGCATATAATTCTAACATTTATCTCAATTTACAAACATCTATCCAAAATTTCTAAAATATATCATATAATAATTCCACAACTAACTAAGAAAATACATGAGATCACAATAACATCATTTTTCTATTCAACACAAAGCACTAAGGTTTCGAAATCCATAATAAAGAAAGCATTTAGGAAGGAAATACACCACTCTCCAAAAATTAGGGTTTTAAAACTAGAAAGGAGATTTTATGGGTTTTAAACCCTACTTTGTTCAAAACATGTAATCCTTGCAAAAAAACCTAAGAGAGGATGATTCCATAGCATATATATACCCTTGATAGCTAAAACATACATATATAAATACCCTAGCCTCAATGTAAGTGAATGAGAGAAAACCCCTACTTTGAATCTTTAGCTTTGGAGTGAAGAACAAGAATATTTGATCTTTAATCACCTTTGAATCTCTTGTTTTTTTCTTCCTTNTAGTAACCTCCACCCCCCTTTTCGGTCACCTTTGATTCTCAAGCATCCTTATCGGGAACCTCTTGAAAATGGATGAGCATCCTTATATGGAATCTCTCACCAATCACTATATTATTTCCCAAGTATCCTTACCGAGAACCTCTTGGGAAGGGGTGAGCATCCTTACAAGGAACCTCTCACTCATGTGCATCATAAACAACCCAACCAAGCATATAATTCTAACATTTATCTCAATTTACAAACATCTATCCAAAATTTCTAAAATATATCATATAATAATTCCACAACTAACTAAGAAAATACATGAGATCACAATAACATCATTTTTCTATTCAACACAAAACACTAAGGTTTCGAAATCCATAATAAAGAAAGCATTTAGGAAGGAAATACACCACTCTCCAAAAATTAGGGTTTTAAAACTAGAAAGGAGATTTTATGGGTTTTAAACCCTACTTTGTTCAAAACATGTAATCCTTGCAAAAAAACCTAAGAGAGGATGATTCCATAGCATATATATACCCTTGATAGCTAAAACATACATATATAAATACCCTAGCCTCAATGTAAGTGAATGAGAGAAAACCCCTACTTTGAATCTTTAGCTTTGGAGTGAAGAACAAGAATATTTGATCTTTAATCACCTTTGAATCTCTTGTTTTTTTCTTCCTTTCTTCTTCTCTAATGCCCTCTAGGGTTTCAAGAGGTGTGGGAGTATGAGGGGAGTGAAGGAAGTGAGAGCAAATGAGATGAAAATGAGTTTAAAATATAGCAGCCCCGAAAAATACTGTTCACAGGCTGTTTTGAGTTTCTCCAAATTTACGGTTTTGCCACTAAAAATCTCCAATTTGATCCATATGACTACCCTAAGGTTTTTCGACGTTCCGGATTCATTTTTAATGTTATTTTAACCTAAAAATATTTATTTTTATGATTTATCTCAACACCCACACCCAAGTCAACGTACACCCGAAACACTAAAGTTTCTATTTTACCCATACGAATCGGCTATTAATGAAGTTTTGCGATGTTTGCAAATAAAATGTGATAAAGGGTGTTTCTTAAAGCCTTTTATACTTATTTGAAGCCTAAAAGTACTCATATTCTTATATTTTGGTTTAGGATGCAAATGAAGACATTAAATGCAAAACGAAGCTAATTGGACTATTTCGACATCATTTCGTTATCTGCGCATAACTCTCTCATCTAAGCTCCGATTGAGATGATTCAAGATGCTATGAAATGATACGAAAGAGCTCTAAAACTTTCATGTTTTGAGTTTTGAGAGATATTGACTGCATCAAGGTCTAAATCGAGCTTGAAGTTGCAGCAGTGCACTGTTCACGTGCACTGTTCATAGCCTGTCTTCGTCCCTTTTCCATTTCCAATCCATTCCTAAGCCAACCAAATCTATCTCAAACCTCTCCAACACATATTTCTACACCAAACCTATTTAATACAAGTTCTAGGACCTAAAATTTCATATTTTCACTTATTAAAACCAAATTTCAACTATTATTTTCACTAACATTTTAAATCTCTACTTTTCCAATCTACCAAATTCAAACACACATTACTACATATATCCACATTTTTTTTTATCACAATTATTTACTATATATCTATATAAATATATAAAAGAAAATGCGGGGTGTTACAACACATGATCAAACATGCATACAACGATAGATCTTTGTATGTAAGAATACGCTTATAATTCTCCTGATCATGTCATTTCAAGGTGTATATACAATACGTTTAGGGATATTCAAACTCCAAAACTATATCAGCTGCATACAAATTCAATTGACCAGATGGCAAACTTCTGTAAATTTTCACTACTCATGGGAAATTGATGCTACACATCTTGCTGAGTTTTCAGAAAGGTCTCGTCTTTATTAGTATTAGATGTTGGTAATGGTAATGGAAACTTGTAGACACTACAGTTACAAGAATGCAAAAATACATTGACCAAAAATGGAAGACTGAAAAGAAAAAAATGGCACAAACATGTGCGAGACTTAAAAGTGCAAAATTGATATTCATATTTTAAACTTACAGGAAGAAGTGGAAGCAGAAATGAGAAGGCTAAAGCTGGAGCTCAAGCAAACAATGGACATGTACAGTACAGCCTGCAAAGAAGCACTCTCAGCCAAACAAAAGGTACAAGGAAGTATATCTATTTACACCTTATAATTCCACCTCATATGCTAACATGGCCTGTTGTGTAGGCGAGGGAGCTCCAGCGCTGGAAAATGGAAGAACAGCAAAGGTTAGAAGAGGCACGACTAGCTGAAGAAGCAGCACTGGCACTTGCCGAAAAGGAAAAAGCCAAGTCCAGGGCAGCCATGGAGGCTGCTGAAGCAGCGCAGAGGATTGCAGAACTGGAAGCGCAAAAGAGAATCAATGCAGAAATGAAAGCATTAAAAGAAGCCGAGGAAAGAAATAAAGTATTAAATACGCTGGCACAATCAGATGTCAGGTACAGGAAGTACACAATTGAGGAAATTGAAGCTGCAACAGATTTCTTTTCAGAATCTCGGAAGATTGGAGAAGGAGGTTATGGGCCGGTATATAAATGTTATCTGGAACACACACCTGTTGCAGTTAAGGTTCTCCGTCCAGATGCAGCTCAAGGAAGATCACAGTTTCAGCAAGAGTTATGTGAACAACCAAATTTACATAGGCACAGGTTTGATGAGTGATTGGTTAACTTTTCAATCCAGGGACATTTTCCTGATCAGGGCTCATGCGAAAGAGGAAACATCTCTTAAGCAAAAGCATGTGATCTAACAGTGCTTAGAAATTATAGTAATTGCACATTCTTCTTCAGTTACTCACTGCAATTGGGACCAACTTCATACCCTTAATCAATAGAGACAGAACAGTAGATTATACATTTTCTGTGCCCGAGCCTCACCAAATCATACAGTACCCTATCATAAAGAATTGATGAAAACTTTCAAATTGAAAACTTCTTTTTGAGATAATTGTGTTTTCCTACAAGATATGTTTATTTCCATTCCCCCATCCAGCCACTAGATTAGAATTCTCTTTCAGTATGGATTTATACTTACTTAAATGTCATTTTCCCCCAGGTTGAAGTCTTTAGCTGCATACGTCATCCAAACATGGTTCTTCTCCTAGGAGCTTGCCCAGAGTATGGGTGCTTGGTCTATGAGTATATGTCCAATGGAAGTTTAGAAGACCGGCTCTTCCAGAGAGGGAACTCTCCAACAATCCCTTGGCAGCATAGATTCCGAATTGCGGCTGAAATTGGCACTGGCCTGCTTTTCCTCCACCAGACCAAACCAGAGCCACTCGTGCACCGTGATCTAAAACCTGCCAATATCTTGCTTGACCACAACTATGTCAGCAAGATCAGTGATGTTGGCTTGGCGAGGCTTGTCCCTCCTTCTGTAGCAGATACTGTTACTCAATATCGGATGACTTCCACTGCCGGGACTTTCTGCTATATTGATCCAGAGTATCAACAAACGGGAATGCTCAGTGTAAAATCTGACATTTACTCTATGGGGATCATTTTCCTACAGCTAATAACGGCCAAGCCACCAATAGGGTTGACTCACCATGTTGAAAGGGCTATTGAAAGAGGAACTTTTGCTGAGATGTTGGATCCAGCCTTGCCTGACTGGCCAATTGAAGAAGCCTTAAGTCTTGCAAAGGTGGCACTCAAATGTGCTGAGCTAAGACGGAAAGACCGGCCGGATCTTGGGAACGTTGTCCTGCCAGAGCTAGAAAGATTGAGAGCAATTGCAGAAGAGAACATGTGGCAGTCCATGTCGTACAGTGCTGGTACTTCGCCCAACCATAGTCAAGTTTCCATGTCCCAAGTAAGTTGAGATTACTTAAAGTCAAACCTCCAAGTTCATATGCCACCCATCTAATCATGCTGCATATTAATCAGCTTATTGAATGTGAAGAGACTTGTGAAAGGAGCATGCCAGATTAAATCAAGATTTTTACACTTCAGAAACACTACTCTCTGGAATTTGGCAACCTGGACTGAACTTTCATATAAGAAACTCAATGAAGACAAGAATGAATCTATTACAAAATCTTAAGCTGCAAGGCAAATCACTGAGGTAGTATTTAGGGCATATTAGATTTACTGATAGATGCCCTCAACTTTTAAGTACAGAAATAATGATGAAAGTCATAAGGTCATAAAATGCATCCAACATGTTCTGAAGTAAATTCTTTCTTAGTAATTTTAGAAACATAAGAAATAAAGAAAAAGATGCATTCAATTCAATTGCTGTAGTGGGCACAATAGATAATTTAATTAAGACACTCAGATCTCTTTTATTTATAAATATCATTTCTCCATCTTCATTAATATAATTCTGCTATTTAAGCATTCTTACCAGCCCTGACATTCTAGAACGATTTTTGAAGGATGAATTAAGTTACCCAACAACTGCATGATCTGGCTACGATGGTACCAGGAGCCGATCAAGCACAGGGGGGTGCTTATAGATCAGCAAATAGGCTGATCGAGGAACAATTAGTCCCAAGCTCTACACCATAAAAATACATGAACGGTAATTTTCAATGGCAAGTAGAAGTTCATGATTGTCTTTAATTTTTGATTCATAATGCAAAGTTCCTCGAGTATTTGTGGCACATTTTTCAGTCCACACTGTACAGAACCAAGACAAGGTGAAGTAGGTGTCTCAAAAAATTGTTTCCATTTCATTACTTATACTATTTTTCCACATTCGTATGATCTTTGAGCTACCGCTAATTTTGTACATTTGCCAATACCAACATTTTGTGGGTGTAACAAGGGAGAAGAACATCCGTCAAAACAGTGTGCTTATGAGTTAAATGTTTATTTATGCATAGAATATTGCTTTTTGCCCACTTGTCTTTTTAGTGAAAGCTGTCCCTTTAAGGTAGAGTTTCACCTTTCAACAATTGAGTTACTGGCTTCATGAGCTGATGAGTCTTTCCTTGTTGTCTTATTGATTGAAGTACTGTACTAGCTCTTAGCCTTCCCTGGGATTGAGAAATAGGATGGTAATGGTTTGTGTGCACGAGAAAAGCCTCTCCCTTCCCCTCCCTCCGCTTTAGCTCCTTATGAGGGAAAGCTACAGTAATTCTTTGGATTATGGCCACGGGTGTTGTAATGTTCGTGTAGCATAACAAACCTAAGTATCTGCATAAATCCCAGACCCCAAAAGGCTTTGGTGGCATTAAATAAAATTGAGCATTTTTTTTTTATTTGGTGGAAAAGGGAAAAAGTTCTCAGACAAACGAGACACACACCCACACAAACATCCAAGAGAGAGAGAGAGGAGGGAGAGAGAGAGAGAGCTCTAGTATACTTTCTGAGGAATACAAAAATGGAGTACTCGAGTAATAGTCCTGCCTAGGATTCGCCTTTCCATTTTACGTTTTTGATAGGTAATAGTAATAATTAAACTCATTGATCATTGATATTGATTGATTTTGTGGTCAAAAAAGGGTAGAATTACAAATTTATACGTCTTGAATTCGAGTCTCTCATTGCATGAAACAGAGGTTTAATTGATGCACGTGGTTAGTGGGTGATTGTGTGTACTTAAGATTTGTTGTTGTGAATCTGAATGGCATTTGATTGGAGCAATTTTCTATGATCCGAGGAAAAACATTATTTCAACTTCCAGCTCATGAAAAATAGTTATATTTTCAGTTTATACGTAACTTTTTATGGGATTGGTATCTAAATGATAAACAAAGTTATGGCATATCATGTCAAACATTCCATGGGTCTAGCCATGTTATATAACTTACACCTTAAGATGAACTCAATTTAAGGCGGTGTGTTGATAGGGCAATTATCGGACTCCAACTGAGCCTAGATTTAGCGATTATGACAAATGAAAACTAATATACTCTAACAATAGGACAAGCTCCACATAAAGTCTCTGCTTTGTATTTCCATGATTGTCGGGAAAACATTGGTTCAATTTACACTTCATGAAGAATAATGCTATATTTTCAATTTACTTGAGATAATTGTAAGTGAAAGAGATACTCAAACTAAGAGTAGAGCCTCTTATATATATAGTCAAATAATAATACAAAGTGATTTAAACATCTTTGTGGTCTAGACAAAAATATAAAGTCATAGTAAGGGTAAAATGGAGGAAAGAAACTTTAATAAACTAGATTATACTTCAACACTCCCCCTCAAGTTAGGCACAAAAATATCAATTAAATCAAGCTTGACAACTGAGTCTCGAAGAATAGATAGAGTGACAGGTTTGGTGAAAACATTTGTAACCTGATTACTGGTCCTTAGAAACAATGAAGTGAAAATACCACAGCGAACCTTCTCCCGAAGAAAGTGAACATCGATTTCTATATGCTTCATCCTCTCGTGTAATACAGAATCAGAAGCGAACGGAATAGCAGANGAAGTGAAAATACCACAGCGAACCTTCTCCCGAAGAAAGTGAACATCGATCTCTATATGCTTCATCCTCTCGTGTAATACAGAATCAGAAGCGAACGGAATAGCAGATCGATTATCACAATATAATGTAGATGAATCAGTCACTGAAATCTCAACTCGCCAAGAATCGATCGTAGCTAGATAATCTCACATGTGCCAAGTGTCAGTGTCCGATACTCTGCCTCTGCTGACGAACGAGAGACAACTGTCTGCTTTTTGCTTTTCCAAGAGATAAGATGAATCCCTCGAAAAGCACAGAAGCCCGTAGTAGATCGACCGTCACATACTCTCCCATAATCTGAATCTGAATAATATGCTAGAGAACCAATCTGAGATCTTGATGCATAGAACAACCCAAATCCAGGACAAGACTTGATGTACTAAAGAATATGATAAACTGCATCAAGATGAGGCTGACACGGCCTGTGCATGAACTGACTAACTCGGCTGACAGCAAATAAAATGTCTGGCATAGTGTTGGCTTGGTAGATAAGTCTACCTACCTACCAACCTCTGATAGACAGTCGGATCTCTCAATTCCTCACCTTTAGGTTTGGAATCATGGGTGATGATATCGGTTTGCATCCCAGTGTTTGAGAGAAGATCCAGAATATACTTTCTCAAAGAAAAAAACAATACCCCTGGTGCTACGAGCAACCTCAATACTAAGAAAATATTGCAGAAATCCAAGGTCCTTCATATCGAATGTCTTCCCAAGGTCTACCTTGACTTGCACAGTCCCAGAAATATCATCTACAGTAATAATAATATCATCAACATATACCAAAAGGATGACAAACTGTCCAGAAATATTCCGTCGAATGAAGCAGGTATGATCAAAATGACATCTGGTGAATCCCAAACGTACGACTACATCACTAAAGTGAGAGAACTAGGCTCGTGGTGACTGTTTCATTCTATAAAGAAACTTACGCAATCGACATACCTTTCCAGCATACTCCCCCTCACCACGAAAGCCTGGTGGTGCATCCATATAAATAATCTCGTCCAGATCACCGTGAAGAAATGCATTCTTCACATCTAACTAATGAAGAGGCCAAGTGTACTCCGCAACCAAAGAAATAATCAACCGAACAATAGTTAATTTTGCCACGGGGGCAAATGTAGCACCAAAATCACAACCTAGTACTGGAGTAAAGCCCTTCGCCACAAGTTTAGCCTTGTGACGATTAATAGTACCATTCACAAGAAACTTTAAGGATTAAATCCAGCGACAGTCAACAGGCTTCACTCCTGAAGGTAAAGAGTCATGATCCCATGTATGATTACGCTGAAGAACATCCATCTTCGTCTGCATGGCAAGAATCCAATTGGGCTCCCGCATAGCCTTTGAAATAGTGTGAGGAACCGGCGTATCTGATAAGACCCTACTATAAGCTCGAAATGTAGGAGAAAGATAATCATAAGAAATATAAACAGAGATCGGATATAAAGTCTTGGCGGTCCAACCATAACGAACAACTGGAAGGCAATCACGCTGTGGATAATGACGCCCTAAATCATCATCCTCCATTGACAATGTCTCATCAGGGAAAGTAACTGACTCAGTACCTACAATCTCATAAGTACTAACAACAGGTGCATCAATATGTTCAACGAACTGAGAAGTATTACCTGCATCGCCTAAGATAGAGGGGACATCAATAAGGGGATGAGAGCGAGGACGATGAACACAAACCTGCAAAGGAAGGGAGACTAGTGTCTCTATACTGATAGGGACGAGTGGCTTTGGAGGAGGAGAGACTAAGGACTCTGTAGTAATAGTAATCAATGGTTCGGGCTCCTGTGGTAATGGAAAAGCATAGGGAGTATCAGCAACTGGAGGGGCAGACACAGGACTGGAAGAAAAATAAGAAATGTGCTCAAGAAAGGTAACATTTAGACTGTGATACATACGACGCTTGACAGGATCATAACACCGATACCCCTTAGACTGATGACAATAGCCCACAAAAACACAATGAATCGTTTTATCATCAAGCTTATGGCGAGTAGGAGACTAATCCTGAACAAAACATGTGCAGCCAACACTACAAGGGGGGATTGGAAAAAGAGTTCGCTCAGGGAATAAGACCTGTAAAGGAGTCCTATGCTGAAGAACACGACTCGGTGTACGATTACACAGAAAGGTAGAAGTCAAAACAGTAAAATACCAATAAGATTTTGGTACCCCCATACCTCTAAACATACAATATACCATCCCTATTAGACTTCTATTTTTCCTTTCAGCAACTCCATTTTGCTCAGGAGTATATGGACAAGTAAGCTGCTGAAGGATACCCTGAGAGGAAAGTTGAGACACTAAGGTATCAGACACATATTATTTGGCATTATCCGAATGAAAAACATGAACAATGACATCGAATTGTGTCTTAATCATCTGGAGAAACTGAGTAATAAAAGGGAGTACATCAGATTTTCTATGCCAAAGGTAGATCCAAGTACAACGGGTATAGTCATCTATGAATGTCACATAGTATCGAGCATCTGACAAAGCAATAACAGGAGAAGGTTCCCAAATATCAAAGTGTATTAAGTCAAATGACTTGGGTGACTGGTGCATGCGAGGAATATAACTGATCCGAACATGTTTTGATAGGGAACATATAACACAGTCAAG